CTGAAGTTGTAGCCAGTTGTTCTGAATGACAAATCATTTTTGAAGCCAAAAACATAAAGACAATTCAGACCTCACAATAATTGTCTGTTCCCTGTTATGCCAAAATGAAAAAACCTAAAAGTGACCCTCATCCTAATATATTAAAACTATATATGCTGTATGATAGAGTGGAACTCAACATAATGAATGACCAATTTAAATTGAAAAAAGAGGCAAATTCAATATGTGCAAGAATTTCCATTTATAGAAAGCCTGGGGTGGTCTAAGTGTCTAAAAATGTGTGTAATGAAAACAGTTTTAGCCTAGATTTCCCACAAAGATCTGTACTTAGGTTTCACCTGGCATGATTTGTTGCAGCTAATCAACCTCCTTACCTCTAAGTGTACTGCGAAAACCTGTTCAATTCTGGTACCGGCTTTGCTTTTCTAGCGTTTTATTTAACCACTATATTTTTTAGGACAAAGTAAAAAAGAAAGATGCAAGATGACAAGGCACAGAAACATCTAAATGGGATAAATTTACTCATTAAATCTCATAATTGGTGCTGGCTTTGAGAAGTGAGTGTGAGATGATGCCTTTGGTCACTGCAGTGGGAGAAGCAGTGCTATGCGTTTACTCTCATGATTCACAAATTGTTCTGAAAAATCCTTTAACTTTAGCCATCTTAAAAGCAACTTTGTCCTTGTTTGGCTATGAACTTTTTGGAGGGGCGGGGGGAAAGGGGTGTGACAACTTGCTGTAGTATTTTAGAGTTGTAGAAGACTGTAACCATGTTTCCATCATGTTACTTAAGTCTTCAGCACAAAAAGCTATTTCTTTTCCAAGCAGATTGGGAATACACATTTAAACTTCAATACACATTTGTGCTTAATCACTGATTTTTAGATCTGATCCAACTCTAACATTTTATTTATTTAAAAAACCAGAAATCCGGCAATCTCTACCAAATAAAGCAATACCGCAGTATTACAATCTTTCCACGACAAGCACGTCATAATTTTATATGTTTTAGAAGACAAGCAAACATTTCCGAGTCATTACTCATGGACTATTTATGAAATACTTGGGGGTAGATGTCAGCAGAACTGATGGGATGATGACTGGCGCTGTTCTCCCTGGCACTGAGGGTGTGTTACAGGAGAGGGAAGCTCAGTCTCTGGTATTACAAGGGTGTGTATCTTCATAAGCCAAAGATGAGATTGCCCACAGGTGCGCTTAAAATTTGCACACTGCTTCTTGGGTAGCAAGCTTTTGGCAAATCAACTCTCTGACGTTTCCGATTTTACTGTAGTAAGGAGACATTCTGGCTCAACTCGTATGGTTTCATTAGGGTTGGTTAGTACAGACTCCATGCATACCCTGCCCCATGTGTGCCACCAGACAAGAGGGGAAACAGATCAAAATGTGTGTTTTATCAACATATTGGAAAAATATGCCAGGTTACTGACAAAAATAGAATGTCTTCCAAGTATGTGCACCACAACTCACAGTACTTGCAAACCAGGAAATACTGTGAAGATGTGTTCCTTATTCAGAATACATGAGAAACAAAAAACTTTTAAATTAAGGCTTTATTCTGGGGATCTACATTGCTTACTAAGCTGGAAAGATAAAAGGATATATTGCTCCTTAAAAAACCCAAAACACAAAAACAAAAAACAAGCAAACAAAAACCCAAAAACAGACAAACCCAAAACTGTTTCAGTAGTGATAGTAGACAATCTGAGATTGTTTTTATTTTCAGGAAGACTTTTTGGAAATAACCTTGATTTTATTAACTTGTGTTTTATTTTATGCCACAGTCAGAAAGAATGATTACATTTAATATAGAGAGCTGGACAATTAACAGAGTTAATAGTCTTAAAGATAAGATAGGAATGCTTTCTATATGTGATCCTGAGGTCATCAGATTTAAAGAAAAAAAGCAACATAACCATATGAACAAAACCATTATTGTGTAGCTTTCTCTTGCTTCACAATTATTGCAAAATTCATTTCTTACTCAAATTTACATTTTCTCAAGGACGTGTTTCTCAGTTTGACTAATTACACAGTTTTAAAACTTTTCCTTACCTTGGGCTGATACTTCTTGGCTGTCAGTAGTAGGTGACTTGACTTAGAACATCTCATACTATAAACTGCAGTGTCATTCAGAATTTGAAAAACAGCTCAGGTGTCCAATATGAGAAGAAATCTGCTGAGTGGGGATCTAAATACTAGTGAACATGGTAAAACTTGGACTGATTTAGGACCAAAATCTGTTCATCTTTAGCATCTTTCGTCAACTGCTCTGATTCCAAGATTGCATTCTAATCCGCCTAAGGCTGAAAGAAAACATATTAATATTTTACTGTAGTGATTTAGTATACATTAATTGTTCATGATGTACTTCATGATGCTAAAAATCCCCCAGAAAGCAGATTTTTATGAGTGCAGGATTTGACTGTAAGAAGTTTCCTTAGCAAAACATGAAAAAAATAGTATAAAGAATGTCTTTCCTACAGCGTATATTTTTCCATATTAAAAAATCAATTGAAATGAGTTTTTATATGACAGAAGTATGAAGGGTCAATTCATTCCCTCTCTTTAGCAGTCACTAAGGGACCTGTTTTGGCAGCACTGAAGAAGTTCTACTAACAGCAGAGGGAATAGCAGGATTTGATCATGTCATACATGATATCTTCCATCTTCCATTCATTCCCTTACTTTAAATTAATTTATATGCCAGACTATTTTCAGGACTGGAGTTTTGAAATAAAAATATGCATTAGATGTGTTTGTAAGCATAGAGTTTTGGAATTAAAAAGCCAGAGACTATTATAGAAAATCTTATAAAAAGTATGCACTAAGGAATAAAAGATAATTCTAGTTAACATGTAAACCTTTTTATATTTTGTTAAGTTGCATATTAACGCAATGTTAAGTAGCATATGTAGCCAGTAATTAGCATTGTAGCAAATACTATGCAAATACAACAGATTGTAGTAGCAAATACAACAAATTCTGCTACAGAAGAAACTTTTTAAACTGAGTCATCAGGTAATATGAAACTGTTCCATCTCCTGAAGAAACTACAGTGATTTCCTAAACAAATATTGGCTGTCAGCAAATAGCTTTTCATGAATCCTAATTTAATATGCTTCTTTAAGAAAAAGTGTTAGTTATGGTTAAAAAAAAAGTGAAACCTTGTACGCTTCTAGTACTGTGAAATGATACCTTCTGAGTAAATTTTTTTCCATGATTGTAGGCATAAAATATTCTGACATTTCAGTCGTATCCTTAAATATCTTAAAACATTCCTATTTTTTGTATTATTTGTCTTCTGTTATGTATAGGAAGTATTTGTAGTCACATTGTTAATAAACATACTATTCTTGTGAAGGCAGAACATTTTAGGTTTGCCCTTTTTTAAGCAGTAACTTCTACAGTTTTTTTGATATCTCATTAAATATAATAATGGATGAATGGTTTAAAGGAAAAGGAGCAGCAGCAGGTTGAGAAGACAGCTCCTGTAGAGACCCTCCAAAATCTGCAGAGAATTTGTGAAAGCAGTAACACAATTGTAAATAGGCTTTGGTTTAGGGATAGCTCTGTGATTTATACAAGAATCCTGTTGTCATAATTATGTCACTAGACTCTGCTGGAGTCAAGAGGAGAACTGGCCTGAGACTGCATCTGTGTGTCCACAAGGAAAAAGGATGATTTGTGCCTCTCAGGTTACCGTTGGCACATGGAAATCAGAAGGACGAATTTCAAAAGGCTTATTTCTAGGTCTTTTCCTGTAAATTTTCCTTTTTCGTTAGTAGCCTGACATAAATTGCCTTTTTTTCTTTCTTTTTTTTTTTTTTTTGTTTTGGTTTGGTTTGGTTTGGGTTGGGTTTTTTTGTTAAATCAAGGAGTTCTTTCATTGTGTCCTTTTACAGTTATTTTTACTGAACAGCAACTGCAGACACTCTTTTCCATTCAAATAAGCATTTCAATGCTGTATGTACAGTTGCTGGCTCTTGTTAGTTAGACGTAACCTGGGCATTTTTTCCATATGTGTAATCTTTAATGTAAGTGTTTTTCAGCAGTGTAAAGGGTATTTTTCTGTAAAGAATTTATTGAGAAATGATGTTTGAAATTCTGCTATCCAACATTTAAAAGCAACAGATTAGCAAGTGAAATTCAGCTGTTCAGCTCTATATTTGGCACAGATTCAAACAGCTTTACAGGAGGGTTTTTAACTAGGTTTGTACACACCATGTCTACCAACTGATGGGCTGTGGACCTCCCCAGAGATTCTTCTTTCAGAGAAGGTGAATAATATTTTTTTTTTCCCTTGTGCATCTGGATGGTACTTGAAAACACCATGCTGCCATCACATCTTATATGAAGAAGGGTCAGAGCAGGAAGCTACTGTCTGAGTGTTGCAGGGTCCAGTGCCTAGAGCCATCATAGCAGCACAGTATGTGATGGAGGGGATTTATGAGCTGGCCTTGCTGCAGACCTTGTGTGGCTTGAGACCTTGCTTAAGGGTGCCTATGCAGTCAGCTCATCACTGCTGTGAAAGAACGGTAACAGCTGTAAAACCAGGAGGTTTTACAACTGTCTGGTAAAATACGAAGTTGGATGATTTGGGTATAGTTTTGAGATAGTCCATAATCATAACACATTTCCTTATTGTTCTGAAGAGAGCAAAGTGGTGTAGAAACCTACAGTCTCCTTGTAGAACAACCAGAGCAGTTTGTTTAGAACTGTTTGTTCCACACTTTGACAACAAAATATGTAGCAGGGCATAAGGGACAGGAAGCTTCCTGCACGTCCTTGGGTTCACGGAAGAACTGGAACCAATACAACTCCTGATAAGGTTATTTCATAAAGCATTCCAAGATTATCAGAAGGGTTGCACTGTATCATAAAAGAAAAAAAAATACCTAGGTGAAATACAGCATGCAGAAGCAGTTTTACAGCCCCTCCCATTGCTGCACGTAAGTGACACAGTTATAGTTAACTTTGGATTATCAATCACTGTGAAACAGAATGGGAAGGCTGTACGTTTGAGCAGCTTTTTCACTGGTTTTGCATTCAATGATGAGGATCTCAGAACCAATACTAGACATGGAAATGGCAAACTACAGTGAAGTTCTAGATCCGACGTACACGGCACTGGAGTTCGAAACTATGCAGATTCTGTATAATGGCAATGGTGAGTTCTGCTCTGTAAGGCAAAATCAAACCGGTAAACAGAAGAAGTGAAGTTTAGTGATGCTGTAAGGTGTTAGTGAAATGTTTCATTAATGGAGCATTTGGGGGTTGTTTTCAAGCTACAAATCTGCTCTTTTACACTTCATCACTAACTTTAAGTTAGTAACATTATAATTCTTTAAGGAAAATAAAAGAGAGGTTATATGTAATAAAGTAGATGAACTGTACTGTCACCAGTCAGTTAATCAAAGGAAGAAAATGGTGAAGTCAGCAGTTGTTTTATTTAGTGTACAACAAATTAATAACTAGTACTGACAGTTTGGACATGGAAGTATATTTAATATATAACTTCCAGAAGAAAAGGACAAAATTGTCCAGAGGTTTGTGAAAAAAATTAGCTACTGCTTCTTGATACTTAGTTTCTAATTGTTAGACTATTATTTTATTTAATTAAGTGTTAATCTAGACTTTCTAGATAAGTGTATATATGAACTAGAGTAATTTAAAAAAAATCACATTTGCTTTATAGAGGCTAATGTTTAGCTGAGAAAAAGTATTTGCATTTGGCTAGTGTAGCACTTCAACTTTAGGCAGAATTTTTGATTGCAGTTTTTGAGAAGTTTTACCAGTAATTTATGCTTGAAATAAGAAGCACACCATTTCATTCTGCCATCATTGAATACTGACAAAAAAAAAAAAAAAAAAAGTCAGTCAAAGTAAAGAAAAGTATCAGGCAGTTAAACTACTCAAAAATGGCCTTCCATATCTTCTAATGTATAAAAAAAATTGGTCTGTCATATCATAAAGTATAATTCACAGATCTGTAGTTGTATGTATTTTTAAAAGGCAGAACTGATATCTAGTGATTTGCAGTAAAAATATTTAGCACCTGCGTTTCCACATATTCCTGCCATATAGAACCTAATTAAGTTCTTACTGTTGGGCTTGAAGTTTTATCTGAGTTTCTGATGTTACATTACAGCAAGCTTAGGAAACAGAGAGGTATACTTGGTTATTGATTTAAGAAGGAAAAACAGAACTTTATGGCCTAAGTGATTTTGGAGCTATCAACAATGATTATATAACTTTTAGAAGATTTCTCTGTTTTTTGTTGTAATATGCATGATTTCATTGGTCATTTGTGTTTTTGCTGAATAGCACCCTTTTGGATCTGTTAATGTTAAATAAAATGGGAAAGCAGATTAGGGAGGTTGTGCTTGGTTGCATTATGTGTTGGCGATAGAGCTGGTTAAATTATTCACTGTAAGTGATTAGCTTGATAGTTATTAATTATTAGGTGTAGCCTTTTTCTGTTTAGAGTTTGGTTTGAGTTTAGCTTAAGTACTTTCTTATAGAATTTGTTAAACCATTGTCTTGTTGTTACAGTGCTAGTCTGGAACTGAAAGCTGCCTCTTATGAACCTTCCTATGTATCTTTTCTAACTGTCTAAATTAATTAGGAACATTCAGAAAATTTTAACAAGCCACATTCAGGGAGTGCAGTTCTCCTGAAATCAAAGAACTTTTCAACATCAGGTCAATTTCCTAGATACATTGTTTCAGAATAATACCAAGGTAAATAAGTATGTGCTTTTACATATATATATATATATATGTATATATATATATATATATATACACACAACTTGTAGTGCTGTAAAATATTTCATCATTACATTTAAATGCTGTATTTTTAATTATTCTGCTGTATCATGCAAATTTACACAACTCCAAAAGAACGGTTTTTATGTTTTTCTAGAGTAATTCTGTAACCCATTTATGAAAATAATTTTCCAGTCATGACAAGCCTAATATTAAAATAAAATTTTTACAGAAATGAATTCTTACTTTTAAGATTTCATTTTATTTAATTGATTTTTAATATAATTCCTATCAGTTACAGCTCTGTAAAGCAAATCAATACAAAAAGGTTGTTTGTCTGAAAAACTTAGTTTAAATTGTAAACTCTACAGGACACAATGAAAATTTTACACATTTCAGTTGGATCTATACAATAAGATTAATATTATCTATCAGTATTAACAGTTTTACTGTTCAACCTGTTTGCTATTCATGAGCTCATGTACTCGACTTTTGAATCCATGTTTGAATAACTAGTTAATGTGTCACGGTTTCCTCTCCTGGACAAAACAGCTACAAATGTTTAGGCATATTTCAAACAGTTTTCCTTTCATTTAAATTGGAAACAAAACAGAAAAAGATATTTTTCAAGTGTTTCTTCCAACATATCTGTTAAACATTTTGACTCAAAAAATAAATGTGTGTTTTGATTTCAGATGAATTTCTTCAGTGGTGTTTACCAGAAGCAGTGACTAATTGTTAATCATGCAACTAATATTCTCTGTGCAACAATATTGTCTGCAATCTTCCTGTCAAAAATATCTTTGAGGAAATAATACTTAGACAGTCGTCTTAGCATGTGTTTTGTTTTCTTCTTTTTTTTTTTTTTAAATTAAATGCAAAACCTTTTGTTTGTTTGTTTAATGTCACAAACCTTTGTATGAGTTGCCAGTAATTGCCTGCTCATATGAGAAGTGATACATGAGAGTTATCACTGTTTTGGGCCGAAGTTCCTCTTCACGTTAATAGGAATGTATATGTAATTGTTCATGCAGAATTACAGTTTAATTTTTAATCCTTCCATTAGAAGGAGTTTAGAATAGAATTATTTGTTGCTGTGAACTTCATTAATTCTGTTAATATCTCTATTGCTTCCAAAGTGTTCATATGAGTAAGAGCCAGATGTAATTAGACAGGTCATGCTATATAAATCTTAAGTGTCAATTAAAACAGAAAAGACCAGAAAAGGCCTCCATTTAGATATAGTTTGTTCATGTTCTGGTTGGTGGAAGTCTTGTCTGTAACTATGTAATTTTGTTCTTCCCTTTTGTCAGACAGTTCAGGAGAAGCTGTCAACATGAATGCTGCTGACAACGGGGTCAGCAGTCTCTGTGCAATATGTGGAGACCGAGCGACTGGAAAACATTACGGTGCTTCCAGCTGTGATGGATGCAAGGGATTTTTTAGACGCAGCATAAGGAAAAACCACGTCTACTCGTGCAGGTATTTCAAAAGTTCATCTAGAGGCACTAAATTAATGAAATTAAGCAAAAATTATATTCAGAGTTTTTCAGGACTTTGCCAGGGTATTTCCTGCTATATCTTAAGGGATACTACTTAATATTGCACATTCCAGATACTATATTCCAGATGTTGGTTGATATTGCTTATCTTCTATTTATTATTACAAAGGTAATCTCCTTTGTAAAGGAGATGTAAAAAAAAAAAAAAAAAAAAAGACAAATGAAAAGTGCTCTTATTTTCATTGGAATATGAAAATTTTATTTCTTAACTGTTTTCTAAGAATTCTTTTCTTAGGAAGGTAGCTTCTGAATAGAAAGTCTAAGATTTATGAGTCTTTCTTTAAGGGCTGTGCAAACATGTCTGCACAAATTCCAGATTTGTGTGACACATTGCTCTTTGATCAAGCATTTCCCCCCTGTCAGTCTGATCTGCTAATTTCCAAATGGTGCTGTAATTATCACACTGCAGGTCTGTGCACCATGTTTGACAAATTACTCTTGTGCATGCACAAGATCATAAATATGTGTGCATAGAACACATGGAAAACTCTGTGAGTTTAGACAGATCACTGAAGGCATGTATTGGGTTTTCATGGCAAGATTCTGGTAGCAAGGAGGCTACAAGAGTGGATTCTGTGAGAAGCTCTTGGAAGGCATCCCTTGTGTCTGATGAAGCCAATACCAGCTGGCTCCAAGATGGCCAAAGATGAGCCCATCAGCAGTGGTGGTAGTGCCTCTGGGATAACATATTTAAGAAAGAAAAATAATTATTGTGCAGAAGCAAATTGCAGCCAGAGAAGAGCGAAGTGAGAAGGAATGTGAAAGGAATGACTCAGCAGACACCAAGGTCAGTGGAGAAGGAGGGGGAGGAGGCGCTGCAGGCACCGGAGCAGAGATTCCCCTGCAGTCCGTGGTGAAGGCCATGATGAGGGAGGATGTCCCTGTGCGGCCCATGGAAGTCCTCAAGGAAGTGGATATCCACATGCAGCCCATGGAGAACTCCCTACTAGAGAGTATGGATGTCTGACAGAAAGTTATGGCATGTTAGGGAAGACCACACAGAGCACGTTCCCATGACCTAACAAAGAGAGGAGCCCATGGTGGAACAGGTTTGCCGGCAGGACTTATGATCCCTCGGGTGACCCGTGCTGGAGCAGTCTGTTCCTGAAGGACTGCACTCTGTGGAAAGGAAAGCATGCTTCCAGCACCCAGGAAACATGCTGGAGGAGTTAATGAAGAACTGCAGCTCATACTGGAGAAGTTCATGGACAGCTGTCTCCGTTGGGAGGGACCTTATGCTGGAGCAGGGGAAGAGTGAGGAGTCCTCTCCTTGAGGAAGCAGCAGCAACAGAGACAACAAATGATGAACTGACTACATCTCCCATTCCCTGTCTCCGTGTGCCACCTCATGGGGCACAAGGAGGAGAAAACTTTTTGTAAAAACAGCTTTTTAGTAGAAACGTTTGTTACATTCTTCCTTGATTGCATAATACTCTTAAAAGGAAATCTCCCCCTTACAGACATACCACAGTGATATAGCATAGACATACCCCTAAAGTGGTGTGGCAAGAGCTGGCATAAGTGATTTCAGGAAGAGCTCTGCAAAAGACAGGTCTGTTTATCTAACAAACACATGCAGATCAAAAAAAGGCAGACCTAAACGGGGAGAGGGGAAGAGGGCTCATATGCATTCCCGTTAGGCACATCTGGGTGTGTACATGAGAGCCTGAATAAGCCATCCTGCACTGTCATGCTCTGTGTGTTTCCTCATGTCTTTGTTTCATTGTGTTAGGAGAAAATGTTCCTCTCATTTCCTTTTTACGTTGCCACGTGTAATGATACCACATGCAGTTTGTTTATTGGTATCTCCATAAGACACCAATAAAATGTTGCCAGCCAAGGGTAATGGTTTTACAGCTAAGGGGCTCCTCAATGCCAGCAACATTTGGCATTTTGCTTGATTGGCCTTTTCATTTATTTTTGTAACTTCTTTTCTTTTTCCACTACTGTTTGATATAGCCAGTTACTGACAGATCTTACAAATCAGTTGAGGTGTAAATGATGCATCTAAGTCCAAAATTTTCCACACTTGCCATTCCAATGCATATATGTGTCTAGATGCACACATATATTCCTGGAAATGGAGCACCTCTCAAAATTGATTAATTAAAAAAAAAAAATCAAACCAAAACAACTGAAGACAAAAGTCTGTTTGTAGGCATTATTCTGACAGTTCAGGTTAGTTGGTTTTCTTCTTTGTAATCAGAGTGCTGCTCTATTAATGCTGTATGCATTTCCCTTTTCTGTCTCTGATAGATTCAACCGACAATGTATCGTTGACAAGGACAAAAGGAATCAGTGCAGATATTGTCGTTTAAAAAAGTGTTTTCGAGCAGGAATGAAAAAAGAAGGTAATCGAGTCATTTACTATTTAATACACAAAGTAAAAAATTCTGAATTAGTTTTAAAATATAATAAAAATTCTAAAAAACTCCAACAGAATAATTCAATGGAAAGTCTCCTATAATGCCTTCATGATGGAGAAATGCTTTTATATTGAGGTGAAATATACATCTTCTAATTTTCAGGTGGGTAAGCAGTTCTAACACTTTGATCATAAGCAAGTCCATGGATTTAAATGACTTTACAACTGTTTAATCCAGGAATCCTGGCACCAAAATTCATTGACTTCTACATATTGAGCCACATGCTGGAAAAGTTTGAACTGTGAGATTTTAGTTTTAATTTTTCATGAAATCTCTATCTGGCATTTTTTCTGCCCTTAGTAATGACAGAGCTAATTTACTGGTTCTTCCAATTAATTTTAAATGTAGGAAACATTTAAGCCAAAGGAAGGACTGTGAAGTTGAGTGAAAAAATAGTGGTGAGAAGACTAGTGGTAGCTGTCAGTAGAGTGTCCACATTAATTAAAATAATTCTAATTTCTTTAGGGCTTAAAATGGGAAAAGTGTTCCTTATGCATCTCACTGACAGGTATGAGAAACGTGTCACAGTGATCCTCTGATCAAAGTGGAAGGACAATATTACCACAGGAGCAGACCAATAGGGAAAGAAGAGTGGTGGTAATATCAGGAGTATTGTTATTGGGGCTGTTGCTTCACTGACAATTATGATGTAGAAGCAAAAGATGTCCTGATCTGTTTCAAATGCGCACTCAAAAGTGGTTCAGGCCAGCTACCTTTTTTTATTTGCAGCATGATGTATCTACCTAAAGGCCAGTCTGAAATGTGAGTGCTCAGTTCTCCTGTACAGTAACAAGGCTATCGTTCTTTTACATAGCTTTCCTAAGATAAAGAAAACTGTTTCTTTAGGCTCTTAAATATCTATACTGTAGTACTGCTTTGCTAGCGATCAAGTTATTGGTATGAGATAAAATGGATTTTTCTTCTTGAAGCTGGATGGGGATATTCTAACCAGTGTTGCACAGTGTATGAATGAAATAGGTTTGCTAGCTCTTATGGATCTCCTTTAACAAACTTTAGTGTTTGAGGAATTTAAGTCATTAAAATCAGTAACACATTGTATATATATTATCAGTCTGATGTGAAGAAAGGGAGAGACCTGCGTGTCCACAGTTGCCCTAAAACTTTTGCAAAAAGCAGAGCTTTACAGACTTTCAAAACCTGGAATTAAAGAAATTTATCTCAGAGGGGACATCTGGAATTCATCTAGTCCAGATCCCCATTTAAAGCAAGGCTAGCATCTAGGTTTGGTCAGGTTGCTTGGAACCCTGTCCAAACAGATTTACAGAGTCCCTGAGGGGGGAGATTTGACAATCTCTCTCGGCAAGTTCTTTTAGTTCTTGACCAACCGCATCAGGAAGAGTTTTTAATTTATAACTAATTGGAATACGTCTTACTGCAGTTAGGGTAGTGACCATTGTTTCTTGTCCTTTCACTATGGATTTGAAAAGAATCTGGCTCCATTTTCCATACAGAAATGAAGACCCCCACCTCCATGTTGGTCGTCTCTTTTCCACATAGACAAAGGTGCTCTGCATCACCTTGTGCACTTTGTGGATTACATCTCTGTAGTCCTCCTCTGGACACTGCCTAGTTTGCCAGAATCTTGCATGTGCTGGAGAGTCAAAAGCAGAGACATGGTCATTTCCTTTAAGATGCTAATACAGTCCAGTGCATGGCATAAACTTTCCACCTAATTTACACTGTTCTGCCCTACTTTGGTTCCACTACCTCTAACACTTTCATTTGTTCATTGCATCCAAGCCGTATTTATTTGAGGCTTCCAAGTGCTAAAATAATTCAAAACACTGAACTGCTTGTGTGTTGTTACATACCTTTTCATATGGTCATATGTTTAATATTGTAAGAAGTGTAGCATAGTCTCTATGACTGTTTCTCCTCTTGTTTCTGGCAAATCTTCTTCTTTTTTGTGAGACAAAGGTAAGAAAGGCTACAGTTGGTGAAAGCCATACAAGGCCTCTTCAAGCAAATATTACACCTTCCTCATGGAGTCTCTAAGGCAATTTTAGCCTGAATTGACAGAAAGGCTTTAGCCAGGCAGACAGTCTAGTCTAACAATCCAAAATTATGTATAAGTAGGAGAAAATTGAAGCATCCACCTATGGTTCTCAGTGTGCTCCACCAGTGACTTTCACTACTGATTTTCAGAATACCTTACTATTTTTGCAATCCTAATCAGTGCTGACATTATTTTAGTTATCTATGTAGCCCTTTAACTGCTGAAATTCGGTGGATGTTTTGGTATTCTTTTACAAGAGGTTATTGGGGTTTTTTCCTGTCTACATGAACATATAGCACTTTGTGTTTATCACCACACAAAATTTCTTACTGTGACCTTAATAAAAGACCCATCAGTGAGTGTCCTTGCAAAAAGTTGGTACACCTCTGGAATAAACTATGTGCATCGTTCAGACAAACTCTGAACCTATTCAGTGCATAGAATATTTTATTTTTTTTTTTTTTATTGAAGCCTCTCTTACTGCTCCTAAATTCTATAATGCAGATTGTTTCCCATAAAATAGCAAACATATCTTTGGAAATAAAACTGCTGCTCTTAAAAGATGATGAGATTCCTTGTGCAATAAAAAGATTTTGATCAGCATAATTCTTTTTTTTTTTCTCCTTTTTTTCCTTGACCTAAGCTTGGACATGATTTAGGTTTTAGAAATATCTGACTGATAGTTTTATTTTTTCTTATTCCTTCAGTTCAAAAGTATGCTCAGTTGCTTCATAATCCTTGTGTGTGCTGAGTAAGGATTCCTTATCCTAAGCCCTTTTAAATGCCTTTCTTTGGACCCTATTAGACAAAACTTACTATCCTGAAACTTTTTAACTGAGTAATTTTTAATATTTAATATTCCATAAACTGGCTAGGAATGTAATGTCACTGAGAAGGAGCATGAGATTTAAGTTTCAAAATTATCTTACTGTTAGATTAAGTTCATGATTTATTCCTCTTTCAGGGTTTCCCACAGCAGAGCAGGAGTAGGGCTTTCCTACTTCCTCAGACTGAGATATTTTTTCAGTTGTGGTGCTGTTCCTCTTGACCTGTTTGACAGTCTGGAGATGTCCATTTCTGCCATTATGATAAAAAATACTTTACTTATTAAATTGGTTGAAATAACAAAATGAGAACATGTCTTCAGGTTCAAAGGAAGAAAGAGGTTTTACAGTAATAAAACCACTGAAAAAAGAGCTGATAATTCACTATCTATCTATAATCAGTTATACATACTTTTTGCAGGCAGGTAATGCACAGATAGAGACCATAAACATGTATTGTCATCCTTCCGCATTACTCAGAGCTAAAAGCAGATCATCCTCTTTGAATGTCATACCTTTCAGTTCTTACAGTTATCTTCTGAAATACAGTAAACTTCTGAAATTATACTGTGCGTCAGTTTTTACAAATCAATAAATGAGATGATTATTCTTTTCCAGCTGTACAAAATGAGCGGGACAGGATAAGTACAAGAAGAAACACTTTTGATGGCTGCAACATTCCTTCTATTAGCACATTGTCACAAGCTGAGACACTCTCCCGTCAGGTACTGAGATCTAGCACAGAATTATTTAGTAACTTTAAGATGGCTTTTACTAAAATTAAATACTTTTCCGTTTTTTATTATATTGAGTATAATTATTGAGATTACTTTCTTCTACTTCCAAAATGCACCGAGCTTCCTGTTCCCAGTGAAAGAATCAGTAATAGAATACATTCTTGAAGCAAAGTCAATAAAAAAATTCTACTTTGTCCAGGACAATATGTCTTAGGCACCTTTCTTAATAAAGCTTTATGGTTCTTACTGCTTTTAAATCAGTTGCTGTCTTAGGCAGCTTGTGGCATCTATCTATCCTTGAAGCTGGCTTTCCCATGAAACATTAGCAAAAAAATTGTCCAAAGCCATTACATTCAGAGGGGTGTGGACACTCATTTCCTTAAATTCTTTTGAAAATCCCATTTTTAATATCCTTATACATTATAAGTCAGGCAAACAGAAATGTTCCAACTGCAGAGGCTATCCACATCTTGCTTTTGAATTTTCTTTGTCTCATCTGAACTTCATTTTCTCTTTTTCTATTTTTTTCCTATCCAATCAATTGCTGCATGGAACAGTCTCCAGTCCTTTTCTGCAGCTCAGATAAATCATGGTCATTGATTCTGCATTCTTGCACCTCTTACTAACTTGCTTAGAATTTAACTGCCACCTTTATGATTTCATGCTGACTGATTTATACATCCCCAAATGTTTTGTAATCTCATCCTTTATCAGCATCTCTCTTAGGTTGGAACTGTCTGTAAAGAATTGATGCTGGAATTACTGGGTGATATGTCTTTGGCACATATTGCATGTCTGGGCAGACTAGATGGACATAATGGACCTTCCTACCTTTCATACCTATACACTATGAAAAATATAGCTATTTTTACCTCCTTAGTAATTTTTTTTAAGTTGCTTAGTGTGCTTTTTTGTATTACTCTCTTAATCATTTCCGACTGGTATATGCAATTCAGGAATAAGAACTGTTAAACAGAATCACATTCTCAGCTGTTTATGGCACAAAGTTCTTTTCAAACAGTAGATTCCTGGCCTAAAAAATCCCCTTGTGTACACATGTAGATTTATTCTACATCCTGTTTGGTAGGACAGAATTAGTTCCACTATGTCAAGCATATATGAAGATACTATCTAGGCCTCAAAGTCCAAAGGACTACATTAACATGGTGGAAAAGTCAAGTCTTAGAAGTACTTGCTTTTCTCTCAATCGAGTAGGCCTGTAAGATGAGTTCAGTCCTGAGGAGAGACTTGGAGGAGGAGGTAGTGTCCCAAATCATTATCCAAGTCCTTCAGCTGTGAAATGAGGAAGAGGGTAGCATTCATCCCTTTTGAAATTTTCGTATTAAATAGAGCAAATTAGTTATTTTGTTCCTGAATACCCCTTACAGGGGGAAAGTGTCCAAGTACAATTTTTCTCTACAGACCCAGGAGAGGCTTCCAGGATTATGTAAATACGAAAGGGACATGCTGGACTCTCACAGGCATAAAGGCATCTGTCCCTGAAGGTTTTCAGGACAATTGGGATATAGTGTTAAATTGTCATGTTCATCAAGTCATTAACAGGTACAAGTTCCACTGGGAAAGTTTTTATCTCAATATAAGAAAGAAATTTTTTACAGTGAGAATAAGCAATTACTGAAGCAACCTTTTCGGGGATGTGGTGGAGTCCTCATTCCTGAGGACCTAGATGAGTCCATCATCTAGGCTTACTTTCCCACAAGGTGGATGAAATGATCTGTCAAGATCCTTCCTAACCTGCACTAGTCTATGATTGTGTGAAGTCTGTGACTGCCGTGTTGCACCCCAAAAATGAAAGGCAGGTTAAATCAATAGAGAAAAAGAAATAGGAAAGTTCATATCTTCATATCCTTGTGAAGAGATGAAATCTTAATAATGAACTCCATGGGTGTCATCCTATGAGTCCCCAGCAGAAGTTCAGCAAGTAATTTTAGCATGGAGTCTATAGTTTGTAATGTAAGTTGTAATTTGTAAAGATGCACAGGTTTGATTAAAAGATATTAAAGGAAAGACAATGTATTCACTTCATGAGTCAGTATGTCTAACGGTTAAACAATCTGCCTCTTCTTTACCTTCTTGTATTATCTCCTAGTTGGTGCGTGGTGGGATCTTTCTCAGGTATATCACAGTGCGACCTGCTATCAGAAGTGTCGTCTTTATACTTTTGAATAATGATCAAGCTCTCTTCTACTCTTCTGGAAAAACAATGAAATGTGTTGAGATTCTTTACTCTCTTTCTGTACTGAAGGTTTTCTAGACTGAATCACTCTGATAGCTCTCACCTGAATGATATTCAGTATTTTCAACTTCATTTTTGTAGAAGAGATGCCAGAAATGGACTCATGATTGTAGCATGGATTTCTCAAATGCTCTGTCTACAAAGAAACAATACCTCTAACCATTTTCCTACATGATAGCCTTTGAATTATGTGTCTGAGGAGTTTCTCACCTGCCTAGCTGCTTTAATTTCCCTGAAAACAAATGTTCAGCTGGTTAACCGACATTAATATCTAAGCTGCTTTGTGTGTTTTACACTACTCAATTGTGTAGGAAGCACTGAGCTTTAGTTCAGAAGTGCAACTCCTTTTGACTACCCCAGGATAATGGGATTTCACTGCAGATCCCACTGTGGGTTTTAACATGGATATATGAATGAAGGGGAACTGAGAGGAAGTCAGCCTAAATAGCTTCCACCATCCCAAAGTGTGTACAAGTATGCTATTGGAAGATCGAACAATTATTTTTTTTCCTGAGGAAAATAATCATACTAGATCATTTCCTGAATATGCTTTCAGTAATAAAAAATAAAGGGAAAGTCAATTTCACATATCTTGTACAGCGGTGGGATTTTGATTTCATAGTGGTGGGATCTTTTTTGTTTCTTTTTCTTTTTCTTTTTCTTTTTCTTTTTCTTTTTCTTTTTCTTTTTCTTTTTCTTTTTCTTTTTCTTTTTCTTTTTCTTTTTCTTTTTCTTTTTCTTTTTCTTCCCTTTTCCTTTTCCTTTTCCTTTTCCTTTTCCTTTTCCTTTTCCTTTTCCTTTTCCTTTTCCTTTTCCTTTTCCTTTTCCTTTTCCTTTTCCTTTTCCTTTTCCTTTTCCTTTTCCTTTTCCTTTTCCTCTTCCTCTTCCTCTTCCTTTTCCTTTTCCTTTTTCCTTTTTCCTTTTTCTTTTTCTTATCTTTTTTCCTTTTTTTCCCTTTTTCTTTCTTTTTTTTTTCTTTTTTTCCTCTTTCTCTTTTTCCTTCTTTCCTTTTTCTTTCTTTTACCTTTTCTGTTTCCTCTTTTCTTTTTCTTCCCTGGTATGACAGCAGCTATAAACTGACCTTACCTTCTGACCTTACCTTCTCAAGCTTGGCTTTATCTTAAGTTGTCTTTCCTGCCTGGCTTAAGAGCAAGCCTAGTTTTGTTCCTTTCCTTGAAAAGTCATTAAGAATTTGAGGTTTTGGCTCGGTGATTATGTAAAAGTGTCCCAGCTTCAGGCCCAGAAAGATATTGCTCTCTTCCTATTTCACAGAACACTGTTCACTGCAGGTGGTCTAATGCACACTCATATCCTTTACATTTCCTCTGAAGTGTCTCAGGTCTCTGCCTATACTCCTGCTTCATCATTACAAACTGTTCTCCTCCAGGCACTAAAATCCCCCTGTTTTACCTTCTAAAGTTAATGATACTTATCTTTTCACTAGAAAAATATGCTACCCCTTTATCACTCTCTTTCTCTGCCCTTAATATTACTGCATGCCCCTACGAGCTCTCCATTTTTTCTGAAATGAAGTAAATGTCAACCCTTTTAAAAGAAAAAAAAGAAAGAAACCACCTCCCCTCTACAAATGGTAAAGGCTCTGGTATACTTAAAAATAGCATTTTGAAATGAGAAGGTATTGTATCATGGTATGAATAATTAAATACTGCAATGCACACTGGTAATAATGAGAAACAAAAATTTATAATTTACATGCAGACTAATGGTCCATGTGGTCAAGGAATATCTCAAGACTATCAATGATTACTGCTGTGATTTTTTCTTAAATATGCTGTTAACCAATGAAAATGCAACTATATGAAATTTAACATTGTGAATTTTTTCTCTCATAATGGCCAGATCTCAATGTCCAGTCCTGGTTCCAGCACTGATATAAATGTTAAGAAAATTGCTGGTGTTAGTGATGTCTGTGAATCTATGAAGCAACAACTTTTGGTCCTCGTGGAATGGGCTAAATATATTCCAGGCTTCTGTGAATTACCACTGGATGACCAGGTATAAGAGGATGCCAAAGAGAAAACTTTAATTAGTTGTCTGTTGTCTGTTACTCCTGTGATATTTAAATGTCGTAATTAAACACTCATTTTTTTTGGTCTGGTCAAATAGATCTGCATGCTAGACCCACCATCTTTTTTTTTTTTTTTTTTTTTTAAGTTTTGAAATAACACCACCACATATAAGATATTAACAAAAAGAAGCAGCAAATCAGCATATCTCTGAAGTGTTTTGTTCTTTCTGTAGTCTTTTGGAAGCAGAACTTTTTTCTGACCTTGATAAGTATTTATTTCATGTTCACCTTTCATTATAATATGGCAGCATGTTATTTAATTTGAAGTAGGACTTCTCTACTTGAAAAAAGTAAAAGCCATTAGAATCTTGAACAAATTCCAGATGTACTGGTATCAATCCCTAGCAAATAATCTTTCATATATTACAATGTACTAAAATTATATTATATTTAATGACTTTGGGTAAAAAAAGCATCAAGCCTTGAAAATTCACAAGGATTTTTATGACAGAGGTCTGATCTGTCATCACAATCCTAATATATCACTGGCTTTCAGAGTAAGTTGTGTTGGCACACCCAGAACCAGTATCCCCACGTTGAGGTGAGCAGTTCTCTCACCAGTAGCCTGGGCAGGAGGTTAATTGGTTGCTTGGGATCTCTCAACTCCAGTCCACCAAAATCTGATACATCTTGAAAAGCTCTCTGTAACTGGATTGTGTAAATCCTCCTTTTTGTCTCTTCAATCTCTCAGTTTTCCACAAAATCCTGCAAGGGGAGTTAGATTCATCCTTGGTTTTGATACTCAAACTGAGTCATTCCCTCCTATATTCTTTGTCAGGAATATGAACATATTTCAGGCCACAGGAGACCCCCCAAAATAGGAGTTTATGATGTCCACAGAGTATGATATGTGTGCACAAGCTCAACATACTGGAATAAGTTAAAACTCTGTTCATGTGAAAGAAGGAAAAATTTACGTGCATTGGTTACACAAGGGCAACAAAAACAGCAAAAAAATATTGCTGCTTTTACTGTTAAGATGGCATGAAGGGAAAGGGAAGATACCAGACGTCATTAAAAAGTTTCTGTCTTCATTTAAAAAAATAAAATATCATCTTAGAAAAACAGGCTGAAAACGCTCTTGCAGTGCTTGAAGAGAACATGTTGGGAAAAACTCCTGAACCTTAAGTAGCTTAGAAAAGTAGGGTCAAAGATACTGAGAGAGAAAGCAAATACAGCTTTTTCATTTGTGATAGCAAATTTCTAAGGAGCATTGTGCATTTAGTAATGAAATAAGACATCTGTTTTTGAACAAATTATTCCTCATCTGGGAGTCAGCCTGATTTACAAACCATAAAGGAGGCCAGAGCAGCTAAGTTAACTCACTGAGAACCAAAAAAGTCTTAACAGATGAGTATACCTAGATGCTGTTTGCTCATAAAGTATTGGCTTGGATTAGAATTACTTGCCAAGAGATGGGTTCCTTGAGGAAATACAGGCCATCACTGAAGTTTCAACAGGACATTAAAATCAAAGGAAAGTAAATAGGTGACAAAGAGTAAACAAATAAACACAAGTGCCTTCCCAGTATGAACCAGGATTCTTCTTTGTTGACCCTATTGGCTATTTTAACGTATCTGGCTTTGCTCTGGAAAAAGCTCTTTTAAGTACCACATAATTTTTGGTTCGAGTTGAGAGAAACGAAACACTGATAGTGCCAAATTCACTGCAGCAGTTCACTGCAGCCCACTGGAGTCTTCAGTGTCAACTTAAAATGACAGAGAAAACTTTGCAAGGCCATACACACTAGTAAATAAATGCAGATATTGTAGTTATTGATAAGTATTTTTCAGAGCCTAATGTTTAAAATCTGGACCAAATGCTAGAAGTGACAGAGAATGACAATTTAATTATAGAGTGCTGTTTTTATGGTGTTAAGATTTTTACATTAGAGTCTTAATTGTCTTAAACATGTACCTAACACACGGTAATATGCATCCTCTTTTCTTTTGCTCTTATTGGAACTTACTGCTTTATCATTTATTGAGTCTGCTGTTCTTTTCATGAGGTTGCCCTGTTAAGAGCACATGCTGGGGAACACCTGTTGCTTGGAGCAGCAAAACGGTCCATGGCATATAAGGACATTTTACTTTTAGGTAAATATTGGTTTTGTTTTACTTATTAATGATGATGTACATTAGCAACCATGTAATCACTTCAGTGGAACAACTGTTCTGGCACAATCAAAGCAATGCATTCTCCAAATGTTAAATGGCTATTAATGACATAATGTCACATGCCTGTTACAGCAAAAGCAGGTGGATAGGTGAGCTAATATTGGATACTAGAAACCAAAACTTAAGGGAGTTCCTGGCAGTTTTCTCATTACATTAGCATCCTTTCTGCACCTTTGTTCCTTAAAAAAACCAGAACAAAACAGCAACAAAAAAACCTCATCATAAACCCCCTTTGTTTAAGAGAGCAGCAGCCAGCCTGTTGCACGTGTACTTAAATTTCAGTTTTAATGAAAACCCATTTATCTGAAGCTTTCTCAAGAGTCCTTCAGACACAGAGAAGACTCTGCTGGCTAGAATATTGGATAACCTGTTCCCTGCAACTCACTTTCCCAAGAGCCCTCTCACTGCTGCCTTGACAGTCACCACATGGCCATCATGTAGACAGCACACCTCCTGTCCCTGACGTGTGACAGATGGGTGCATCTACGGCACGGTGAGGAGTCATGCCTGCAGAAGCATATTCTTGATCACTTGAAAGGGCTCCTACACTGGGTTATACAGAGAGAACATAGCTGTTAGGGAAAAAGACATTGTTGCATGGTGGAAGTGAGTCTTATCTTAGGTCATGCAACAGAGAGGCTCAGTTAGTGGACAGGATGTGCGCCTGTGTGAATAGGAACTCGATGATGCATTTGTTAGCACTGTTTGAAACAGTGCTCTGCCACTCTGAAGTGTACTCTGCTGAACGTTTAACACATGCAGCATTTGGGCTGTTTTATGAGAAAGTGTGTAGGTCATCTTGGGCAGGATTTTTGATGTGAGGCAAGACTATATGGAATATGGACTCAAACTAGTCTCTTCACTGGTGGTGTGGAACAAGGACTTTTTTAATACTTGTTTTCCTCGTCTTTGGGCCTGTCTTTTCACAACTCTAAATCAGCTTGAATTTATTTTTACACCTATTATAACATTAAAAGGACAAGAAGGGCTTGATCTGGAGGTATTTCACTAGCAGTCCTTTCAAGATAAAAGCTATACATCATCACGGCTAGGCTTCGTGAACGAAGATTTGAGAGGGGCTCTACCCACACTTGCTACAAGCACGCTGATGGCTAAAAAGGCCAATGCGAGATAGACAAGTCCGGTTGCAGAAGGTACAGCAGAAAGACTCCCCAGGTGATATCAACAAGAGGCGATTCTTTCTACGTTGTCTTTTCTCCTCGAGAGTGATCCTGCGTGTGTTCTCAAAAGCAGCAGCAGCGTTATAGATGGTGTGTCTCCAAGCCTCTCGATTGGAGGCCAGGGTAGACCACTGGTGGTGATCAATATGGCCAAGGCTGAGGGATTGTTTCAGGCAGTCCTTGTATCTCCTCTTCGGGCCTCCTCTCTTGCGGCAGCCAGTGGCAAGTTCCCCATAAAGCATGATCTTAGGTAGGCGACGGTCCTGCATCCTGGAGACGTGCCCTGCCCAATGCAACAGCTATACAAAAAGCTATACAAATGGCTTTCTTAATGTAGTTCTTTCTCTAGATACTGTTTTACTGACAAACTTAAATAAAAAAGAAATATTTGCAGTTTTATTTGGATTAGTGGTAATAAGGAAATTAATTAAAAAATAATAAGCAGAAAATTATATTCAGTGTCATGAGTGTCAGCATATATATCAAAAGAAGAACAATTTGAGACTTCAAGGCTTATTTCTGGTACTTGAGGGCAGGTATCTGTAAAGTTTACGAGTCGTTTTGGCATGAATCCCTTGTGATATAAGCTTTCCTTTCAAAAACTGCTTTGGTGGCTTTTGAAAGCTCTGTGACTTTGCCAGTGTTCTCCAGGAGGTGAATTAAGATGCCATGGTGGAGACTTCTCCAAAGGGAAATTTAAAATTAAAGAAACAGGGAAAATTATTTCTTTACTGAAAATTTTATGATGCTGCTAAATTTTATCAGGAGTAACAGAAGCACCTGTTAGAAAAAGAAGCATTCCCCATGTCTTCTCCTATGTATTGACAAATCCTTCATTCAGCTTGGGATGTATTATTTTAACTGGGGAAGACATTTTAAGATCAATTCACTGTTATAGTTATCTCTTATGTAAAGATAAAGGTCTGCTTGCTCTATACTTGTGCATTCAAACATTAACCTTGGTTCTGCGGACTAATCAGTAACTGTACATGTTGGCATATTTGCATGTACAGATTTTTTACTAGGTGACAGCTATAATTTGCACATATACTCTGTTTGAAAAGATCAGTTTTGTATAATGGAAATGAGAGTTATTACTTAAAAAAATTATTAACTTGAAATGTGCTTTTGAGGATGGGCTTCATCTAGTATGTTACATCAAAATGCTTATATTAATCCACATGTTGATATTCTTTCTCTCTAAGGCAACAATTACATAATCCATCGCAACAGTACTGAAGTAGAGATCTGCCGAGTGGCAAATCGCATTCTGGATGAATTAGTTCGACCCTTCCAGGAAATTCAAATAGATGACAATGAGTACGCTTGCTTGAAAGCAATCGTGTTTTTTGATCCAGGTATTTTTACAAAAAAATCTCTCAGGATTTTTTACACATGATTGTACTGAAAGTGATTTTTGTCAATGTAGAATCTGTTCACGTTATCTAGCTTAATGGAAAAGAATCAAATGAAAAAAAAAAGTAAGATTCTCCTTCCAAATCATAATCTGCTTTGATTATAAATTTTTATCATTTTTTAAGATGCAAAAGGCCTGAGTAATCCAATGAAGATTAAGAATATGCGGTTCCAAGTCCAAATCAGTTTAGAGGATTATATAAATGACCGTCAGTACGACTCCAGAGGAAGATTTGGAGAACTCCTCCTTCTACTACCTACACTCCAGAGCATCACTTGGCAAATGATTGAGCAAATACAGTTGGTTAAACTATTTGGAATTGTTAAAATTGACAGTTTGCTTCAGGAGATGTTACTAGGAGGTAAGCTAACAATTTTCTAAATTTACTGTGTTGTATTTTGTTGAATTTAGCATGCTGGGATGTTGAGGGAATTGTGATGTTATCAACCACTCTGAGTCACTGTCTGAGCTTTGGGTCGTGTAATTGTGAGCTAAAGCTTTCTTGTCTTGGCAGTTCATCTTGTTAACTCAGTCCTACGACAGATTGTGCCGTGTGCTTCTCAGTCACTGATGGGTTGTCCTACAATTCCCTTCACAGATGAAAGAATCCATACAAATATTTCATGAAATCCACTGTTATTGCAGTCAAAACAGTGAAAATAAACACAGTGCTTAATATGGTTGAAGTCTGGTATAATTGTTTAATGAATACCCGGAGGCAATTATTCAAATTGCCAATCAAAATATTTGCTCTGTGGAAATGTAATTACTGAAGTCTTAGTTGCTGGCAACAATATGCTCTTTTGAATTGATATATGCACATGTTATTTTTGCAGGTACTTCTAATGATGCCAGTCATCTGCATCACCCAGTGCATCCTCACTTAGCCCAAGATCCCTTAACTGGCCAAACTATCCTCATAAGTTCAATGTCTGCTCCTGTACATACAGAACAGATTTGTAAGTAATTGCGAGTTAGCCTTCTGTCATAAGATTTCACTGTTTCATTTAAAAATATTAATTAGAGTGGTGGCCTGTCAGTGCTCATAGAGTTATTTCATCATCATTCTTAAATTAAAATAATGGTGCATTAAAAATGTATGTATTTAAATGGTGTTAAATAAGAGACCTTGACCTGAATTTAATCTAATTTTAAGAATTCAGCACCATTTTGATATATAATTGTTTTTACATGCACAATTTTTAATAAACTAAAAATTAAAATATCCTATTTCCTTAGCATGTCAAATGTAACTGAACTCCCTTTCAGCACAGTAGTATGCATATGCAGAGTAGGCCAGACTATAAAAATATCTAATTCTTTCTGTACTCTCTTTCAGCAACTCCAGAAACTCCATTACCTTCCCCTCCTCAAGGCTCTGGGCAAGAATACAAAATGTCTGCAAATCAGGCTTCAGTCATTGCACAGCAGTCTATTTTGAAACAAAAACCATTGTGATAATGTTTCTGTCTCTGTCTTATCCTTTCTTCCTTCCTTCCTTTCTTCCTTCTTTCCTTCCTTCATTCCTTTCTATGCACTAGATAAATTGGTAGGACACTTGCACATTTAAAATCTCAGGTTGATAAACAAAATTATTTCCTCAACAGCCACTGCTGTGGGTGTTCCTTTAAACACCTCATGATTTAGAAAGTAATGCTGTTCTGACTGCCGCATTCAACTGTAACTGTGGACATTGCAGTCTGAAAAATATGTATAGAAGTTGATATTATTTTTAGATCTTATAACTGCACAGATTCATGTTTTTATTTCCTGTTTTAGTTGTTGTCTTAATATTATCGTTTTAAATGTGTATATATATGTATTTTTTTTTGGTGACAGAACTGGTTAGTGCTTGCTTAGCTGTGAATTGTAGAGAAAAAAAGTGGGTTAATCAGGCAAAAGCCGAGATTCCACTAATAGTAAAACGGTAGGCTACTAAAAAAGCACATAAAAAAAGGAAAGCATACTTAATGGATGGAAGTGCACAACTCATTTTAAAAAACATTGATTTGAAAGGACCATCTCTTTCAAGTAAAATTCCAACAGAAGTGTTGAATCCTTCCTGCACATCTGTTTGTATGAGTCAGAGGGCCTGCCATGGGCGAATATGCTTGCGGGCTTTCTAAAATCTGTATAGACAGTAATGCCTATATCAGTCAATTGGATAGTGCCAAAGCATTTACATTGCTAAATAGTTAAAATAAGGACTGGTATTCTTTTTGGTCAGGACTAACTGGTACTGTCCCCAAAAATTTATGGGCACACTTTGGGAATTAGGCCAGTCTATTGACACTTTTCACCAGGTGCTCTGGATACAGCCCCCCTCTTTAGGGGCACAGAGAGGAATATAGGCAGACCGTGCCATTTGACCTCAGGACTGGAGTATAGACTTTGTGCTGTTTGTTTAATTGTGTAAGTGTAGCCATTGGGTTTATTTGCCTAACTGGCTGGTGAATGCACGTTTCAGCAATCACTAAACTTCACCTACAGAGATGTTGTAGTTAGTGTAGCAGCTCTCTGTCTGGAGAGTTGTGGCTAACTCACTGAAGCATTAATGTGCCTAAATTCAGCTCCAGGTGTTCCTGGTTTGAGCCATGGTATTTCAAGCCAGAAGACAGCCAGCACACAAAGTATTCATTCTCCCAGTTTTTTAAGAGTTTTCAGAAGCTTGGGATGAATCAATTTTCTGTGATGAACCTCCTTCTCCTCTTCCTCCCATTACAGTTTGGGAGGATCCAACATTGACTAAGTTTTGTGTCTGGAGTCTATAACAACCCATCTGGATTTGGACCGTCTGTGGATTTGCACAAAGTGGACCTTGTGACACATGCTCACTTGGGCATATATACTCAGTTACAATTTGTGAAAGTAATCCAATATGATATATTAAGTGATATGTTGTTCATACAATACTGACATCATAAGAAAATTACCACTTTGCACATTTTATTTATTCCAGACAGCAATGATTTTGCTTTAGTACTTTAAAGTAAACTTTCTTCCCAAAAGATATGTAAGAGAGAAACAGAAAAAAAAGATAAAATATTGCAGTTTACTGTACTACTGCGAAAAGAAAACATAGTGGAGTCAGAAATTCTTCAAGATGTGAATTTGGTCATCCTGAACAACACCTTCAATAATCACAACATCCAAAGATGGTGTAGTTACGCCTCTGGCTTGTAAAAGTTGCTCAAACAATCTGCAGTGATTCTTCAAATACATTCTTGTAGGCAGGAAATGCGACACAGTAAATGCTGAGCTGACCTGAACATTCAAAAGGCTTTAATGAGAATACACTACTACCGCATAGATGCTGTGTTTCTTTGTTATTTTAAAGTAGTTGCTTTTGTAAAGTCCATGCTGTAGCTCTTAACATTTACCTTTTGCTGTATAGATGGTTTTTCTTTTTGCTGTTTACTGTTTGTTTTTTTATCAAGGCATTTCTCCTTTTACAAGTTCCTTTTAGCATGAGTTTTTATGACAGAATAAGGTACTGAAGTTTTACCATTAACTTTAGGGGTATCCAGACTGTGCTGTTTTTACAAGTTCACCACCAGTGCTTTATGGTGAAACACAGAGGTAAAGCATGTGTGAGAGATACTGAACAGCCCAAAAGTTTACTGATTGGGCTCACTTTTGTGTACTTGTCATACACAGAAAGAGTGTTGGACTCAAGGTGGATCTACTTGAATTTAATGGGTCAGATTAATGAAGTTAGTTGCATAAACATGGCAGTATTGATCTGACTAAAAACTTTTACCTGGAAATAAAAAGTAGTCCCCAGGTTGGCTACCCTTGCCTTATATAAGAGATATGCATAATAGCTTAATGGATTTATTTTTCACACTGTACTTTAGATATCAAGTGTACAATAAAATGTTTTCACACACTGCCAAAATGTACTGGAGGAAAAATATACTTTAGTGTTTTGTCTGACAAAAAGTTATTATCTATTTTGTATGATATATTACATTTTGGAATAAGAACACCACTGTAATTTATTGGGAAAAGTTGATTTATTTTATAAATGTAACGTTATTTTTTTAAACTTAATTATGAAAAATCAGAAATGATTAGCTTTGTTAAATATTAAATTATAATGAGATGTAACTTTATATGTTTGAACTCTGATACCAAGTTTTTGTGTTGAGCGTTTGGAATTGAAATGGTTGCTGAAAATATTTCAAATGGACTGTTTTTCATCAAAGCTTAATAAAGAAAAACGAATGATCCAAATGACACATGTGCCTTTTAGTAAATTTTTTTGCTATTTACATAAACAGTGAGAATGCTTTATATTGCTTACATTATGAATAAGTATATAACTACCATACCTTCATCTATACAGTATTCACAGCATCACAGAATGGCTGAGGTTGGAAGGGACCTCTTGGTGTACACATAATCCAAACCCCTGCTCAAGCAGGATATTGAAATCATATGAAAGAATACGATGGCAACATTTTAGTTGATTCTGCTGTAGCATAGCAAAGTATACATAGATATGGTTTTCAATTATTAGTTCTGACTGAGAAAAGAACTGAAGCACATGTTTAATTCCATCTATGTTTAAAATGAACCATATGTTCAACAGCCTTTCTTTTTCTGGACAGGGATAAATTAACAAATCACTGCCTTTCGTTGCTTTAGTGTAGTATTATTTAGGCAAATCTAGGTGTAGTTATTTATTTTGTAGACAAAGACTTTGATAACTGTAGAAACACTGTTTACAGTATATTTTTTTTAGATAACCAGTATCTCCTCGGCCATGGAAATTATGTTTAGTTGCATGTCTCTTTGAGTAGATTTTGAATAGAGTTGTGGTTGGAGGTTGTTTTCATCTGGGTGGTGGTAGTAACACAGTGATTTGGGCTGCTTACTTTTACCCCCACAGGCTCTACTAGGGAGTGCAGAGCTGCAGGGCAAAGCTGCCACAGGAGGAAGAGGAGATTCTATTTCTTGAGTGCTGGAGGTCTTCAGGTCCCTCTGAGGAACCTGTGTCAGTGGCTGATTAATCTAGATGAAGGAAACTTCTACTCATGAATGCTGGCTGGGGTGTAGGATGTTTATGATTGTAGGGAACAGAAGAGATTTTTTTTTTGTCAGCCTACAATGGAGAAAATATGGAAAACCCCCTACATCTTTAATGCCATGAAGTGCTGACAGACTCTTCTTTAAAGATTTCCATAAATCAGCTTTACAAGCAGCTCTAATAGGTGGATCGGGGGTGTGTATCTTATAGACAGACAAACTAGCTTTCAGTTCTTATCACTGTCCAGAATTTCTCCCAACTAAAGAATTCTGAAAGTGAGCAAAGATTCCTGAGCTTCAGGAATCTTCTGCAACAGAAAATTTAATCTTCTCAGAATCTAAGAAAATCTTTTATAGCTCTTGGTTATATACTTGGCAGGTCTGTTTTTACCTCAAGCATGTCCGTCAGTTTGTGGCTTTTTATGTCTTTCCATAGACTATTTCTAGTTGTGCACCTTGAACATTTGGGCTACTTATGCTAAAGTATATACTAAGCAAATATTTAGGTCCACATTTTAGGTAAGTCTTTCAAAAATCTTATGTGTTGGTTTGCAATTCATTTTTACATTTTTCGTATTGGCCCTGATATAGAGCAATTAGCTTTATTCTTTCGCTTTATTCTCCCTAGGAAAAAACAAGAAATGGAAAAAAGATTATTTATCCCCAAACTTAAAATCCTGATACAGTTGTCCTTCCCTGTCTTCTGTGGTTTTTGTAATATAAAAAAATAGAGAACATCATCAAGGCTGGCATCAATCACTGCTTCCTTCTGCTTCCTTATTGCCTTATGGCAAATCCAAATATTTTCATGTATTGGAAAGTCTAATAAAATAAAAAGCCCTCTATAATGTCAAAAGCTAAATTTGATCGCAGGGAGGATTACAGGTGCTCAATTTCCGAAATATGTTTTCAAAAATTTATTTCATAAAAATTACCTGATTTTTAAACAAAATGCTAAAAAATTCTATTAAAGGGTAAGAAACGTTAAGACAATGAAATATAAGGATTTTTATATAAAGACAGTGAAATGGAACTTCCATTTTGTGTCACAAGATATAATAATTGCCTTTTGAATAACAGCATATCTAAATAATTTCTAAACAGGATGGGTAAAATCTCATCAAGAGGGGGGAGCAAGCATGTTATGCCTGAAGATGTCCTTATGACAATGATCTCTATGCCTTAATGATGTGGTGGAGCTGTGATTGCTACTGGCATTATCTGGTAGTTCATCTGAGTCAAGCGTCAGTCAGAGCTTCCACTCTGTGGAAGATTTACTAGATTACCACTAGATTTACTGTTGGTCTGGAGAGGGTTGTCACCTCCTCACTAACAGCAACACCTGCTCCATATCACATCATGGCAGTACACCCTCACACCAGCACAGAGCTCTTAATTACCCAAAGATTTTGAGCCTGATACCACTTTTTCCCTTTGCAAGGGTGCATGTCACTGATGTCTAACATGAGGAGGTGAATAGCAGCAAGTGTAGAAGATTTTCCTTTAACCAGTCTGATCGAGGATTAGTTTCATCTAAAGCTTAGCACTGTGCTCTGAGAGAAGAAAGCCTAGAAATCTGCAGTTTCAAAATGTCTTTGGCTTTGATCTGAGTAACATTGGCTGATCTCTTTGAGTCTGATTGTAGCAAGAGTTGAGCAGTTGAGAACCTCGTGTCTGATTAGGCTCAGTGGCGTTATGGGGTTTGGCCTCCCATGTAACCTCCTTTGCAAGTTTGTTAATGGGTTGACCAAACAGAGCAGCTGCTATTTCAATTGTAGAATACTGAATGTCTTCAAGGAAACATAATCATAGAGATGCCATGGGCAGATGTCTCTGGGAGTGTAATTACCTTAAGAAGTTAAAAGAGGTAATGATGGGTGAGAGAAAAATATTTTTACAGTGTACATAAGAAGGTGTACTT